CACGTGATTCAGAGTGATTGACCTCCCACTAACTTATCTTGGTGCGCCCCTTTATGTGGGGAATCAAGGGAATATCTTATATAAGGAGCTTCTAGGGAAGCTTTAGAGATATTTGAGCCATTGGGATCGGGTTGTCTTGTCACACGGCGGCGGATTACAGCTCATTCGGAGCACACTTTTGTCCCTTCCACTATACCTACTTCAGGTATTACATCCCCCATAGTCGATACTTCACAAGGTTGATCAGATCTGCACGCGGTTCTTTTGGGGCTTGTATCATGGTCATCGCCAGTGTCATTGGATTTTTGGGCTGATGCGGCACAGCCACAAGAGGAGGGTGGTTTAGGACTTAGTTGTCTCTCGGATATGGTTCATGCATTCTCCATGAAGCTTTGGTGGAAGCTTTGTGAGGGTTTCTCATTATGGGTGGGGGCGATGCAGCACAAGTACTTTCGCGATTCTTTTCCGGGTAGTTTTCCTCATCGGAGCTATGATAGTCCGGTATAGAACCACTTGTGTTATGTTAGGGATGAGGTGTAGTCACAGATCTATTGGACGTTAGGTTGAGGGGAATGTTATTTTTGGGATGATAGATGGTTTGGGGAGCAGCCCCTTTTGGCCTTTCGGGAGGATAGACTACCGCCGCTGATATTAGTTCGAGATATGTGGAGTGGTGACTCGTGGGATGTTGGGAGATTGCTAACGTATCTTCCAAAGTCGCTCATTCAGCGTGTTATGGAGGTTCCTATCGATAGGCAAATCAAGGACCGAATGAGTTGGATAGCCTCGGCATCCGGTACATTCACGACATCTTCGGCTGGGAGTTTTGCCATGATACAGGTGTTCGGAGTTGGCTTTTATGGATACTATGATCACGTACCTTCACTCCAACGATGTCAGTATTCCTATGGAGATTATTTTGGTGATGGATTCCGATGGATGAGATCCTTCAGCACTATGGGGTCTTGATTGCATCATGATGTCATTGTTGTCATATAGAGGTGGAGACTATTCCACATCTATTTATTGGTTCGGCGGTTTACTGGCAAGTGTGGGAGCATTTTGCGGTGCTTTTCAGGCTATCTTTGCCAAAGACACATACACTGCCTCTATTTGTGTTCTCATTGAGGTTTTCCTCGGCACATTCTCAAGAGTATTAGAGCGTATGTTCCGTTATTGATGCGAAGCACAGAGGGCTTCGCGTATCTTCCGAGAGGATCATCTGGCGGATTCATTCACATTTATAGACCCTTTCGCGTGCTAGGATTCTTTTACATCGACATTGGGAGGGAGAGTTTTGTATAGCTGATGGGCTTGAATTTTGATATCCCCCTCCGATTCCTTGGCCTCCGATTATGGTGCGGAGGGAGGCACCATCTCCGGGATGGTTCAAGCTTAACACGTATGGTGCTTCGCTTGGCAATCCCGGAGCGGCATGTATTATCTGAGATTTGGAATGAGTAGTACTCATAGCGTTTTAGACTCCGATTCCACATACGACAAACACTTTGGCAGAGTTGACGGCGATTTAGACTAGAGTTGGGATAGCGATTGATGAAGGACTGATGCCACTGTGGATTGAGACAAAATCGTCAGCATGCATCTCTCTGATCTTCTCCGAGACGAGCCACCGGACTCTCCAGTGGTGCCTTATGTGTATTCGACTGTGGCTTAGGGATGCGACTTGGCGAGTATCTCATATATATAGGGAGGGGAACCGTGTCGCAGATGCCTTAGCGGCTTTAGTGGTTTCTCTTCCGATTGGACGGACACTTCTCTTGACAGATATCCCTTCATTGATTAGAGGCCTCTTTTGAGTGGATGCCCAGGGTCCCCCGACTTTCTGTTTCAGGTAGCAAGCTTCACCTTCTTACTTGTCTTTGGGACACTTATGATTAGACTTGATAGACTTAGTGTTTGGTTGGTGTTGATGTGTTACGCATGTTGCCTTTGACCTTTAATACTTACAATACCTAGGCTTGTCTGATCTGATTGCTTTTCTTCCACTGTATAGCTTGTATCAGAAGAACTACGTATAGCTTAATCCCGTTCGGGTACGTAGGCAGCCCATATTGGGTGCAGTCTTTGCTATATAGGAAAAAAAAAATAAAAGTTCAGCACCCATACTGAATCACTTAGGATTAGTTATTTTAATTTACATAATTAATTAAAATAATTAATATAATTATATATTATAAATTTTTAGTGATCATAATGGGTGTTGAAATTTTAAATTCAACATACTATCTCATCCCTTATTGAAATGAGGAAGATAGGGTACCGAGCATACAAGTTCAGCACCTATGGTAAATCGCTTATGATTAATTATTTTAATTTAAATAATAATTAATATAATTATATGTTATAAATTTTTTAGTGACCATCATAGGTGCCGGATTTTTAAATTCAGCACCCTATCTCATCCTTTATCGAAACGGGGAGGATAGGGTGTTGAACATACAAGTTTAACACCTATATTGAATCACTAAAGATTAATTATTTTAATTTACATAATAAATTAAAAAAATAATATTATTATATATTATAATTTTTTAGTGATCAACATATGAATGCTGAATTTCACCCTATCTCATTCCTTATCGAAATGAGGATGATAAGGTGATGAACATACAAGTTCATCACCCATGCTAAATAACTTATGATTAATTATTTTAATTTATATAATTAATTAAAATAATTAATATAATATTATAAACTTTTAGTGATCAGTAAAATAGTAAAATTCAGCACCTTATCTCCTCCGTTTTACTAAAGGTGAGTGATAGGGTGTTGAACATACAAATTCAGCACCCATTCTGAATCAGTAAAGATTAAATATTTTAATTTAAAAAATTAATTAAACTTATTAATGTAATTATATATTATAATTTTTAGTAATAAGCATGAGTGCTGAATTTCACACAATCTCCTCCCTTATCGAAAGAAAGTGGATAAGGTGCTGAACATACACGTCCAACATCCATGTTGAATATCTCATAATTAATTATTTTAATTTACATAATTAATTAATATAATTATATATTATAAATTTTTAGTGATCAATATGGCTTCTGAATTTTACCCCATCTCATCCCTTGTCGAAAGGAGAATGATAGGGTGTTGAAGAAACAAATTCAACACCAATGTTTTTTTTTTTTTCAACACCAATGTTGAATCACTTAGAATAAATTATTTTAATTTGCATACTTATTCAAACAATTCAAATAATTAATATAATTATATATTAATTTTTAGTAATCAGCATAGTTGTTGTATCTCCTTCCTTAGCGAAAGGACGATGATAGGGTTGTGAACGTACAAGTTCAGCACCCATGTTGAATCACTTAGGATCGATTATTTTAATTTAAATAATTAAATAAAATAATTAATATAATTATATATTATTAATTGTAAGTGATTAGAATGGGTGCTGAATTTTTAAATTCAGTACCCTATCTCATCCCTGATCGAAAGGTGGAGAATAGGGTGCGGAGGATACAAGTTCAACACCCATGTTAAATAACATATGATTAATTATTTTAATTTATATTATATTTAATATTATTATATATTTATTAACTTTTAGTGATCAACATGGGTGTTAAATTTTGAAATTCAGCACCCTATCTCCTCTCTTATCGGAGGAGGATAGGGTGCTCAATATACAAAGCACCCATGGTGAATCACTTAGGATTAATTACTTTATTTTATATAATTAAATAAAATAATTATATATCATAAATTTTTTAGTGATCAACATGGGTGCCGAATTTATAAATTCAGCACCTTATATAATCCTTTAGCGAAAGGAGGAAAATAGGGTGATTGAACATACAAGTTCAACATCTATATTGAAACACTACAAGTTCAACATCTATATTTACATGATAAATTAAAATAATAATATTATTATATATTATAAATTTTTAGTGATGAGCTTGGGTGTTGAATGATAAGGTCATTAACATACAAGTTCATAACCAATGCTGAATAACTAAGAATTAATTATTTTCATTTACATAATTAATTAATTAATATAATTATATATTATAAACTTTTAGTGTCTGGATAGGTGCTAAATTTTTAAACTCACACTACCAAAAAAAATGGCCATTTGTAGCGAAATCTTAGTCGCTACAATTTTCTTGATACAAAAGTTATTTTTTGTTCCAGATATTACCGTAAAAAATGGTATTTTTGGTATGGTCAACACCTATTCTTTTGTTGCGGTATATTTCCATTACAACTACAATAATTTTATTTTAAATTTCAAAATAAATCCAAAATAATCTAAAATAATATATCATATTTACATATATATGTATGTCATATATAATACATACATAATACTTACATATTAATGTATACAAATTAAATACTTATATATTAATATATACAAATTAAAATTAAGGTAATTATTTATTTAAAAATAATAAAATTCCAAAATAAATCTAAAATAATCTAAAATAATATATCATAGTAATTTACATATATATGTATGTCATATATAATACATACATAATACTTATATATTAATATATACAAATTAGATACTTATATATTAATATATACAAATTAAAATTAAAATAATTATTTATTTTAAAATAATAAAATTTCAAATTAAATCTAAAATAATCTAGAATAATATATCATATTAATTTACATATATATGTATGTCATATATAACACATACATAACACTTATATATTAAAATATACAAATTAAATACTTATATATTAATATATACAAATTAAAATTAAAATAATTATTTATTTTAAAATAATAAAATTTCAAAATAAATCTAAAATAATTTAGAATAATATGTCATATTAATTTACATATATATGTATTGTCATATATAATACATACATAACACTTATATATTAAAATATACAAATTAAAATTAAAATAATTATTTATTTTAAAATAAAAGTATAATAAAAATTAAAAAACTCTACCATAACCCTAAGCACGCACCTGCAATCGCGCGCCGCCCCCTTCGTCTTCTTCGTCCTGTTTCTTGTTCGTCTTTTTTCTTCTTCTTCGTTTTCTTTCTTCTTCTTCCTTTGTCGATCTCCTGGTTCCTCTTCTTCCTTTTCGTCGTTGTCTTCTTCTTTGTGTTCTTCTTCGCCGACTGGCTGTCCTCCGCCCTACACCCCTGAACCTCGCACCTCCTCACTGTCTTTGGCCATCGACTGCGCTCCACCGCTGCCCGCGGACTTCCTCAAACGTAAACCATAGCTTTTCCTGTAAGTTTGGATATGGGATTAATTTTGTTTTTTTTTCCTGCCTAGTTAGGCTTTTTGATTTTTAATTTTTGTTCGTAATGTTAGATTTAGGGCTTAATATGTTACATAGATGATGAGAGATTTTGCAATTATATGGTTCGTCTTGACACTACTTGATAATTAGATTCATTCCTCTTGTGCCTTACTTCATGGATGACAAATAGCCTTTTCCAGAAAGAAATTATTCCTGAATTTTTACAAGTCTGAGGTTTAACTCATTACTGGGCAACTAGATATAATATTTTTAGTTCTAATGGAATTTTTAAGTGGGAAGTTTGTTCAAGGCATGTCAAGTTGTTCCTGAAGCACGTGATTAGCATAAACTTTATTTTTACTGGTAAAATTTACTATATAGTTGGTGGAGGCAGAGCACATATATAAGTTTATATATATGTCTGTGTATTGTTTGTATGAATGAATATTGCAATCAGAAAAGGGGAGGGTTGGGTACATCAACTAGAAGAATTACTTGGATTATAAGGTTTCGGGACCACCTCCAAATTTAATTCCAACGGGGACCACATCAATTGGTTGCTTCTCCAAACCTTCTAAAAGTTGTTGTATATATGTATATATATATATGTGTGTGTAAGAAGATAGTGGTGCATTCTGCTGTAGTTCATGTTCCATGCTGATAAAGCACAACAACTGCCAAAAGCCCAGTCTAAATATACCATCATCACTGATATGTATAATATTGTTTGTGTTTTCTCTGTTACTTTTTATTGCTTTTGTAAAGTGTTCTTCTGATTCTTCGATCTACTAATGTGGATTATGGATGACACGAGGCGTCTTTGAAATTGAATAGGTGTGTCATACCCGCCGTTGAGGGACAACGTACTTTTCGGCACAAGTCTAAGCGTCGATCCAAGCTTGCTGCATTGTAGTAAGTTATTCATTCATCAATAGTATATCACATTACTTGTATAGTTTTTATGATATGAACATTCGAATTATAGTGCTGAAATTCATATTTTTAGTTCAATACTACTATTTTCTGTGGTTATATAAGCCGAGGCAGGTTAGTATTAAGAACCAACCTGAAATAAATTATCTTAGGGTCTGAAAATTATTTACATGGCACGCTATTAAAGTGGTACTTATATCTTGATCCACATTACAACATGTGTTTAATTAAGTGCATACGATATATGTTAATGGGATTATGAAAAATCTTCAAACTTTTTCTTTCTTAGATGGACAAGATGTTGGGGTGACGAATCGAACCATACTTCGCTACTTATTTGGATGGTGTGATTCAATTCTTAAACTATGCTTTTCGTGGGAGGGACATAGACTCGGTTGTATATTGCCCATGTTGGACTTGTTTAAACCGTGCCACTAATACTCGTAGGACAATTGTGGGCTTCCGGATTCGGCAGAGAAGGTCTTTATGGCTGACCTGAAGGATGTCTGGCGCCATTGGAAATGCATCATCAAGTCTACATACTTCGAACCTCACCAGAATGACGATGAAGCATTGAAGAAAGTCCCTACCGATCGGATTGTCGCTGAAGAATGGCCGTTGTTTGTCCAGTATTGGAAGGACGAGAAGGTTAAGGCAAGTTACATCTCTTCCTTCATCTTTTTATGCTCTTACCATGCTACCTAGGCTACTCCAATTCATATGGGTTGATGTTCGCAGGATATTGCAAAGAGAAATACCAATAACTCCATCAAAAGAAAGTTTCTGCACAGGACTGGCCGGAAACCATTCACAGCATTGGCGGATGAGGTCCTTCATTCTCTTGTTTGTGCAATAATTTAGTCCACAACTATGACTCCCCAGTTCTTATGTGTAAGTGAAGTTAACTACCGGTTTCTTATTTGGCTAACTCTTAGATAAAGGCAACAGGGAAAGAGCCTGATAATTTGGAAATTTGGATCTCCTCTCGCACGAATGGACGTGGTGGTGATGATGAGATGACTGATGATATTTTGGTATGCAAACCTATCTCACCTTTTGTTGAATAGAATTGTAGTACTTCTCGTCCTTCATCTTTGTATTTGTTTGAAATTCTGTAGGCTTATTTGAATAATGAACTTAATAAAATTCCTGTTGATAAAAGAACCCCGGCGGCTCGTGAGGCTTTGTACCGCCGTGCACTCGGGGGGAAAAAGAATAGAAAAACAGCTGTTGATAGTGCTGCCAGCTCTGCCTACCCCCAGAGTCATTTGACTGGAGGGCCCGATGGTCCTGATTTCCGAAAGCTTGCTGAGGACTATCAGAAAGGCCTTGTTGAGATTAGAGAATTTATGTCTGAATTTAGGAGTGTCCGTGCTGAGATGTCTGAAATTAGAACCATCCGTGCTGAGATGTCTGCTTTGTTGAATTCTTCCCCGCGTGCCTCCATACGGGGTCCTGTAAGAATGCATATCTCGTGTATTAATTAGTTTTGCATTTTACCCTTTGGGGCGAGTCATGTCGTTTCATACTCACTTGTTTTGCAGTGTTCTAGCCGCACAGATGGAAGGTCAGAGACCCCGCGGACTGATGTCCTTACCCCGTTGTCGGTTAGTAATTTTTCGTTGCTAATTTTATTTGTATTTGTTAACTGAATCACCCTTTAGATAATAACATCCACTGCTAATACATCACCACCACCTTCGAGAACATGCATGTAGATTATATGATTGACATTTGATAACATTTTTCATGTAGATCGGGTCTCGTATTCTTCTCATATCTCGTGGTTTGGAAAAACGCGTTGTTGGTGAGGGGGTGTTGCTATCCGACCCTACCCCAGGTTTGTTGTCAACCTAGTTATATTATCTATATAAAATCGATTTTGGTTGCATCCATTTTGAGTAAAACATATTCTATGGTTATTAGTTAGTCAAAATACTAATACATGATGTGGTGACAATGCAATTTATATAGAACTGTAATTGGGTGGTTGTTTGCTCTGTATGACCTTGTTGGGTAGCATATAAATCTATAATTAAATATTTTTGTAGGCTGGTGGGTAAATTAATTTTTTTCACCAAACCACTTTGATTTTTGATGTAACTTATGTGTTAGGTATTTGGATACATTAACAGTACTCAATTAATTGTTGTTTTTAAATTGGTTGTTTTAAACAAACAGCTTCTCACATGTATCAAGTAAATTGATCACGTTGCTGGTTGTTTTATACTTGTGGGGTTGTACAGATGTTGGTCCGGATGTCATCAAGATAGGATCCATGCTATAATTATAGTTATACTAATCTATATTTTACAATTTTGATTACGCTGTTGTATGGATGGTGAAATTAGGTGATCATCTCCGACCTTTTCTCTTACGTATGCTATAATATTTTAGTTAATATCTTTAATATTTTATATTGATTATATAAAACGTGATTCTTATTTTCTTTCCGATGATTTGCACATGTTTTCTTTATATGTCCATAGGTGACACTGTTGACATAGTAAGGGTTTTTGTTACATCTGCTACTGTTCTAGAGGCTGCGCTTATTCTACGGACAACCTCCAGAGCACAAACACTCAGTGAGGTTGTCCGCGCCGAGCCAATCGACTGGACATTTAAAGATGTACACAACCACATTTACAAGATTTTCTATTGGATTACAACTTAACCATTTTACAAATAAATTCTTATATAATTTTGCACAATGTTGGCAGCTTGTTCGTCGCCCCTAACTACGGTGTACGGCCACTTTGACGGTTCATGGGGCGTTGCAGCATGGCACGTGATTCTATGACGATTGACGTTTGTTTGTGGATTGATGCTAACTGAGTCCTTTATGTTGGTTGAACTTGTTGTCTCTGCTACATTTTGTGTGTTTGTTGCTACGCTTTGCCATATATGTTAGGCTACATTGCGAAATATTTATGTTTCCACACAGTGCGTACTTGCTACGACTTATGGTGATACAGAACTGCCGTAATATTTCCATATTTTGTAATGTCATTTGGCAGTATTTTCTCACATTGTACAGATTTTTCGATCCCGAAACCATTTTTTTTAGGTTATTATTGAAAAAATAAGGAAACCTTTTTCGATACAATAAATTGATCATTACAAATACTGGTATAAAAAATATTAACCAGGTTTCTGAAAACCACCTATTGTAACGAATAACTACCGTAACAAAAGCCGTTACAAGTGGATAAGCGTTTATTGTAGCTTTTCTTTTATAACGGTAAATGGCCGCTACAAATAAATCAAAAGTACAATGATAGCATTACAAACACTGTTACAATAAATGCGTTGACCACCCATTTTTGTTGCGGAAAAAGTCGGTACAGAGACTTTTTGTAACTCGAGTATATGCACCGGTCAAAATTCGGTACAAAATCATTACAAATAGTTTTTTGTACCAAAAAATGGCCATTTGTAGCGGTTATTGAACCGCTACAAATGGCCATTTTTTTTGGTAGTGTCAGCACCCTATCTCCTCCCTTTTCGAAAGAAGGGTGACAGGGTTGAACATACAAGTGCAACACCCATATAATATTTTAATTAATTATGTAAATTTAGCACTTGTATTTTTCAGCACCCTATCCTTTGAAATTCAGCGCACATGCAGATCACTAAAAATTTATAATATATAATTATATTAATTATTTTAATTAATTATGTAAGTTAAAATAATTAATTATAAGTGATCCAACATGGAAACTGAACTTGCATGTTCACCATCCTATCTTCTTTCGATAAGAGAGAAGATAGAGTGATGAATACAAAAATTCAACACCCATGTTGATCACTAAAAATAAATAATATATTAATCCTAAGTGATTCAACATGGGTGCTGAACTTTTATGCTCAACACCCTATCCTTCTCGTTTCCATAAAGGAGGCGATAAGATGCTGAATTTAAAAATTCACCACCCGTGATGATCACTAAGAACTTATAATGTATAAGTATATTAATTATTATGTAAATAAAAAATAAGTGTTCCTAAGTGATTCAACATGGGTGCGGAACTAATTATAATATATAAGTATATTAATTATTATGTAAATGAAAATAATTAATCCTATGTGATTTAGCATGTACTGCACGTTCAGCACCCTACCATCCTCTTTTCGATAAGGGAGAAAATAGGGCGCTAAAATAAAACATTCAGCACCTATGTTGATGTCTAAATATTTATATTATATAATTATATAAATTATTTTAATTAATTAAGTAAATAAAAATAAATAATTCTAAGTGATTTAGCAAGGGTTTTGAACTTATATGTTTAGCATTTTATCTTCTCGTTTCAATAAAGGATTAGATAGGTTGTTGAATTTAAAAATTTAGCACCCATGTTGATACTAAAAAATTATAATACATAATTATATTAAATTTTTTAATTAACTATATAAAATAAAATAATTAATAATAAGTGAATCTGCATGCGTGCGGAACTCGTATGTTCAACACCCTATTCTCCTCCTTTCGACAAGAGAGGAGATGGGGTGAAATTTGGCACCCATGCTGATCATTAAAAACTTAAAATATATAATTATTTTATTTATTTTAATTAATTAAGTAAATCAAAATAATTACTTCTAAATGATTCAGCATAGGTGCTGAACTTGTATGTTCGTTCACCCATGAAGATAACTAAAAATTTATAATATATAATTATCTTAATTATTTTAATTAGTTATATAGATTAAAATAATTAATTAGAAGTGATTCAACATGTATGCTGAACTTGTATGTTCAGCATCGTATCCTCCTTCGATAAGTGAGGAGATAGGGGGCTGAATATAAACATTCAACACTCATATTGATCACTAAACATGAATTATATATAATTATATTAATTATTATGTAAAATTTGTATGTTCAACACCCAATACTCCTCTTTCGATAAAGGAGGAGGAGAGAGGGTGCTGAATTTAAAAATTCGGCACACATGATCACAAAAAAATGTATATCATCGAAAGGAGAAGAGGAAGTGTTGAATTTAAAAATTTCGCACACATGCTGATCACAAAAAATGTATAACATATCATCAAAAGGAGGAGAGGAAGTGTTGAATTTAAAAACTTGGCAGACATGCTTATCATAAAAAATGTATAATTTATAAGTATATTTATTATTAAGTAAATTAAAACAATTAATCCTATATGATTCAGAATAGGTGTTGAACCTGTATGTTCAGCACCCTATCATTTATTACATAATTTTAAAATAATTAATTCTAAGTGATTCATCATAGGTACTTAACTTGTATGTTTAACAGGCTACCATTCTCCTTCCGATAAGGGAGAGATAGGTTGTTGAATTTCAAAATTCAAAACCTATGTTGATCACTAAAACTTTATAATATATAATTATTTTAATTAATTATATAAATTAAAATAATTAATTCTAAGTGATTCAACATGGGTGCTGAACTTGTATGTTCAACATGCTATATTCTCCTTTTGATAAGGAAGAAGATAGGGTGCTGAATTTAAAAATTCAAAACCTATGTTGATCACTAAAACTTTAATATATAATTATATTAATTATTTTAATTAATTATATAAATCAAAATAATTAATCCTAAGTTATTCTGCATGAGTGCTGAATTTGTATGTTTAGCATGAGTGCTGAACTTGTATGTTCAGGATACGGAGCTGAATATCCTCCTCCTTTCGGTAAGGGACAAGATAGAATGTTGAATTTAAAATTTTAGCACCCATAATGATCACTAAAAATTTATAATATATAATTATTTTAATTATTTATGTGTATAAAAATAATTAATTATAAGTGATTCAACAAGGATGCTCAACTTGTATGTTCAACATCCTATCCTTCTCCGATAAGAAAGAAGGTAACGTGTTGAATATGAAAATTAAACGATGATGCTGATCACAAAAAATTAATCATATATAATTATATTAATTATTATGTAAAGTAAAATAATTGATCCTATGTGATTTAACATGGGTGTCAAATTCAAAAATTCGGCACCCATCTGATCACTAAAATTTATAATATATATAATTATATTAATTCTTGTTATGTATGAAATTTAGAATTAGGTTAAAAAGCCCAAGGTAAAAGAAAAAATGGGCCTGACAATAGAATTGATCGAACTAGCTGAAGGGCACCATGGGAAACTCAGGGAAATAGGTTTATTTTTAAAGAAAGTGCAGGTCGGAAGTCCCCAGGTCGGGAGGTCCTCAGGTCGGGAGGTCCGCAGGTCGGGAGGTCCTCAGGTCGGGAGGTCCGCAGGTCGGAAGGTCCTCAAGATGGAAAGTCATCAGGACGGAAAGTCCTCAGGTCGGAAGGTCCTCAAGATGGAAAGTTATCAGGACGGAAAGTCCTCAGGTCGGGAGGTCCTTAAGTCGGATGGACTGTTAGTCGGGAGGTTTGCGGCTGGACCAATAAGTCGGATGGTCTGTTAGTCGGGAGGTTTGCGGCTGGACCAATAAGTCGGATGGTCTGTTAGTCGGGTGGTTTGCGGCTAGACCAAACAAGTCGGATGGTTTGCAGGTCGGGAGGATTGGCAGTCGGGCCAAAATGGCGGAAAGTCTGTGGTCGGCTCAAAGAGTGAAATAGAGTGATAATTTTGGTCTGCTGAGGACACGTGTTAGCGAGAGAAGGGTTGACAGACGGTTGAAAAGGAGACATTGTAACCGTTCGGGCGACGGTTTCCAGTACAGTTTCTCAGGGAGTATTTAAGGATTTGAATTTTTCAGGAGAAAGTATCTTCAATCAACTTCAACAAAGCAAAGACAGATTTGGGGATCACCACTTTAAATTTCCAGCATTTTAATTTCCAGTTAATTTCTTATGTACCGTACAGTGTTTAAAGATTTCTAATCTTAGACGCTAATTAATCAAGTTTAAGGATATTTTTCATATCTTTGAATTTTACTTTTTGTTTGTTGAAAAAATACATCAACAAATGGGTGTGTATCTTATGTAAGCACCCGAAATTGGTGTGTGTTTTTTTACGGTTCTACCTCAGGAAATAGATCTGGTGCAGGCGTCCTGTTGGAAGGACCAGACGGCCAAAGGGTCAATCTGCAGCTTCAATTGGAAGATATGACCCATAATTCAGCAGAATATGAAGCTTTGATCTTGGGATTTGAAGCATTGATAGCCAGAAAAGTTCAGTCGGTTATTATAAAATGGGACTCTTAATTGGTGATTAACCAGGTAAACAAAAAATATGTTTGCAATTATCCCCATCTTCGGAGGTATAGAGATTTGGTAGGTCGGTTGCTGTCAAAGATCTCCGAAGTGATAATCGAGTTCGTCCCTAGAGAGGAGAATCAGTTTGCAGATGATTTGGCTCAAAAAGCTTGCAAGGAAATTCTAAAAGATATGTGCGCAGAGGTCGGCCCTGAGATTGAAACAAGAACCGACTGAAGGATTGAAGAAAGAACCGTCTGGCAGACTGGAGCAGGAACCGACTGGAGGACAGAAATTGTCATGTATTTGCAAGATCAAGGAGCAAATGGACCAATTGGAATTCGATTGAAAGCTTTGCGATTTCAATTGGTAGAAGGAGTGTTATATAAAAGGACATTCGAAGGATTGCTTCTAAAATGTTTGGGTCCGGAGCAGGCTTTGGAGGTGCTGACAGAAGTACATAGTGGAATATGTGGAGCTCATCGGGCAGGTCTGAACAT